CACTTGGTTATGAAAAATCCCCATTCTGACAGGTTGGTACCAATTACTGCTCAAATTTTTCATTGCTTATATCAAGCGCTTATGTTCTGGGTATGCGAAGAGAACATCAACTGCCTTGGCGCAGATATTAAGTCCTTGTGAACCCAAGATGATCTTTGTGCTACTATATAACCCAAGAAAAGAATGTATGTATGACAGTACGTCGTGACTGCTAGTCTACTTAGTTTTGCTATTTTATAAGAATGGATCTGCTAAAGTATTAATGCAGGCAAAATTAGGTCAAAACATATTGAGCTGATCATACCTGCAGCTGCTGCAGCACGTGGCCAAATGGTCTGCTGAATGTCTGATGCATCAATGTGTTCACCCCACATGCATACCTCACCACCAAGTACTAATTTCTGCTGTTCCGGGTTGTAGATATTTGTCAGTGGTTCATTCGTGTAGAATCCTTCCCATGTAGCATCCAAGTGATCTAGGTACCACTTATCCTGGTTGCTTACAATGCATCTCAAACCAGCAGCAACAACTTTCTCTGCAACTCCACTTCCAAGCCTACCAAGTTATGAGGAAGAACTAGAACGGTTACTTCAGCATGTGACTACAATGAATCTGTTCATGTGATGTGCTCCTATTACTTAGGCTTAGGGGGTGAAAACTTCCATAGCCCTCTTAATTTTGTGGATATAAATCAATGCGTTTTTTTAATTAAGAATTATGTCTGGTTTGTACTAATGGATTTGTTGGTACAAATCAGCCAGGGGTACATGGTCTTATGCCAGATGTTATTTTCCAACAAGGATACTAGTAAATATTTCTAAAGTGCCTGAGCAATAGGCTGTGAGGAAATACCAGTTATGCACCACAGTTTTACGATCCAGCTTGTCTCCAAAGTTGTTAAATGTCTCTTCCCTACAAGGATGAGAAACGGTTTGTTAGAATTAGTTGGACATTTTAATCTGCAAAAAACTAGTAACACCAGTCACCCTACCAGTTAATGATGTCATAACCGTGTGATATTGCTATCTTTTGAGCTCTCAATACAAAATATCTGTAGGCATCAGATTCATTCATGCCATGTTGCAGCAACCTGCAAAACCGGAAAAAGAGTTCTGATCAGATTAGATGACCAAGCCAGGGTAGTTTGTTGTTTGTACCAATTACAACAAACAGAAAGGTTATCAATTGTCATATCAAATTCGCAAAATTTCCTGTTATTTTTTGCTATATTATAAGATAATTACTTACCATGACTTAATGTGTCGAGTGGTAGTCCAGCAACCTGACATCATAATAAAGAATGAATAGATTATAACATACATAAATCAGCTGTACTGTACAGATTTCTGCAAGCTTACTTGTGTTTACTTCATCTCCCCCCAAATGGACAAACTTGAACTTAAAAATCTTGCTGAAATCTGAAAAGGAAACAAAGGTAGTACCATTGATTATACTCCATATGTTCTTTCCTCCAATGATTTGACTTATTATTCTGGCCATAGAAGCATCTTTTTAGTTGCCGAACTTTAGTATAAAGTGTTATTTCATTCTATTTTGCGACAAAACCATGAGGTCCATGAAGGTGTATATTAGTTGTCTTTCAAGTGTAGAATGGGAGCCTAAATCTAGAGTAATTCATTTTGACAGAGAACAACCTGAAAGAATTCCATCAATCACTTGAAATGTAAAATCATTGCTGACATCAAGCGGTTCTTTGCATGCAGCTGATGGCCACAATGATGGATATCCTACACCCCTGAAACAAGAGAAGTACACCAAAATTTAATAATTATTAGGTATGTTAAATTTAAATATGATTATATTATTTCATCTGTAGAAAATATACTTTCTACATACTAAAAATATAATGCGAGTATGCGGATGATAAACACAACAAAATAATTTTTGTATTTTCCAAATTCTGTATCCATTTTCTAGAGAAGAGTGATATTGCACAGAATTAAATGTATTACCATGAGAGAGCATGGCCAGGTACATCAATCTCAGCCAAGACATTCACACCTCGTTTTTCAGCATACCTGTGAATCCCTGATAAGTCATCTTAACTTGGGGAAATCCAGCAGCATAGATAAGTAATCTCTACAGTTGAGTCTAATCAAAGGATGAATATTCGAAATTCTTTTGAGTTTCCTTTTCAGACTATAGTAACGTTGCTTTTTCGCAGTTTTGCTGGCATATTTTGTTTAGCACTTAAAAGTCTAGGTCTAGGTGTCAAATGTCTGCTGAGATATAATTCCAGTACGATGACAAAAGCAGAACTCACTGTACAATGTCGATTGCATCATCAAATGTATATCTCTCCGAATATGAGTATGCACCATTCCATAATTTTGGGTAGGAAGGTATTTGAAGCGGAAATGATTGCTCATCCACGATATGCCAATGAAGAACATTCTGTGTGACGATAGATTACACAGATGACATGGCTGAGCTGGAACTAATTTAAGGATATTATGTTTAAGAACTTTGCAGTAAAGGGAAGAGTAGCACTAAGAATTAAAGAAGTTGCTTTGCATGTGGAAACGTAAACGTACCAGCTTACTGAAGGTCATTGAATCGATTACACTTTTTATTACTGGGACAGGAAGATAGTGCCTTGAAGTATCTGTAAATTTGGTACATTAAAACAGAGAATTTAGTATTATCTTGCAACCATGAGTGCCATGACCACAATTCGTTTCTTTCCATATCTAATTTGTTCCACTTCCATACTTGGATCAAATCCTAAACCGCCGCCTATGCTAGGAGAGGGGGGTTGCCCTGCTTTTTCGAATAGAGCAAAATTCAGACTAGCTTACCGATAAGGAGCCCTCGGTAAGGGAATCTGGGAGCGTCCACGATAGTCCATGGAGCTGAATGAAGTTCAATCAAGTTTGCATTGAAGTCAAAGTTGCACAGTTGACTAAATGTCTGCATTAACAGAAAATACACGTTAGGTATCTTGAAAATATAGTAGGGTGGATTTTAGCTTACGCATAGGTTTCACTTCCATTTACCTCCAAGGCATGAAGTGCTCCATAAACTGTTTGAGCCTGCAAAATATTTCGATACAGACAGCATCAATTATGTGTCACAATTTTTACGGTGAATAAGTTATTGCAGGAAGTGATAAGAATGATTTGTGCCATTGCACACTGCTGCCAAATAATCGGTCCTCCGATGAGCCACAACAGTTGTTAAGCACAGGACATGATGTTACGTGTCAGCTTTCTACTGCATATTCTATCAATTGCTATGACGGGGCATTGAGATTTGAGCGCGGCTCGTTCACTAACCTCGATCTGGGCATACAGAGGATTTCCGGTGGCAGGCACAGACAGCTTGTACGATTCGTCCACCCCGAAGTTGAGCTGCGAAAGCGAAGAAAACCAATCTATCAGCAAGACGCATAGAAGAGAGAATGCAGGACAGCAGCAGGCCTCTCCGGGCGCTTGGGTGCCCGTGGCTAGCTCCATCAGAATTCAGTCAGTTGGTGCGCACCTCGTCGTTGGGCGAACGGACGGCGACGCGGACGCCGGCGAGCACGGGTGCGCCCTGCGAGTAGGTCCCGTTGATGGCATGGTCCAGATCCACGACGGCCACCATCCGCTGGAACGCCTCCTTGAGGATGCCCTTCCCGTCGGCGTAGCTGCTCCCGGCCGTGGACAGCTTGAGGTCCCTGCTGACGAGGAGCGTCTGCGCGCCGCGGGTGACCGACGCCGGCATTGGCCACAGGTCGACGCGGCCGGCGCCGGCGCACGGCCCGGTCGCCGCGGCCGCCACCGCGAGCAGCAGCAGCAGCCTCAGCCTCAGTGCCGACGCCATCTCTGGCTCTGCAGGCTGGTGGCGCCTGGCAGTGGCAGACCACCGTGTCGGTACTCGGTACGGTACCCCCTCCCGCTGCAGAACAGGAGTGGTTTGTCAGATATGGAGGCAGCGGCGGGGAATGTGTGGAGACGACAAGGAGATTGATGGAGATCGCACACCTACCTAATGTGTAATGATCCGCGATCGATCAGTCCCAAGCTCCGGCCGGCCTCGTCGGAGGAAGAAGAGGAAAGGTGGCCTTTTGCGCTGTCCGGGCGCGGGAGAGGAATGTGATGGTAGTGCAGTTCTTGCCTCTACTACCTTTATTTATGGCCTGGCCTGGCCTGTGACAAAAGCGTGAGTGCATATGGCAGACCGGCTGCACGGATGCGCGCACCACGCAACCGCTCCATCTGCATGCATCCTACGGAGTGAGTGGGGGAAGGAATCGGGTCCAGCATCAGCAGGCCAGCAGCTTACTGCCAAATTCTACAGTAGGGTAAGTGCATTAAGATCCAAACGCCGGCCGGTTTGGAATGGAATTGCATTGCATTGCATTTATATGTCTCAGTTCTTGTTTAGTTACCCAAAATCCAAACTTTGACACTATGCAAAAAGAAGATTTTCTGTCACATCAAACTTGCGGTACATGTATGGAGTACTAAATATTGACGAAATCAAAAACTAATTACACAGTTTGGTTGTACTTTGCGAGACGAACATTTTGAGTCTAATTAGTCAACGATTGGACAATTATTACCAAATACAAACGAAAAATGCTACAGTGCAACTTCGCCAGCCAACTAAACGGGGCCTCATGTCTATATATAAACTATCGGTAATGATGCACTAAAGTTATAGTGTTAGGTGGAGTAGCTAACTGGAAACTACTACTAGTTACAGAGTGTGAGAATTCAAAGATGTACTTCTACCGCTGAAGGAAGTGTTTTGTTTGTTTGATGCTACTCGTATGAAAGGAAACATAAAAGCAACGCATGTTGCCACTGCATTGCATTGGAGCGGAAGGTCTGTAAAGGAGTGGCAGCAGGAGTACTCGTAATGAATATCGCGGCGGTGACAACCCTGGGTGCAGTCAGTGCCGTGTGGACGCCTGATCTGCTAGTGGTGGCTCACTTCACATGCATCTGTCCTTTCTCCCTGAGTCGCTGACCACTAGAGACCACCGACACGTGATGGTCCTGCCCGAACCTCGTGACGCATCTCTATATACTAATCCTGCTTCCAAAAGCGGGCTATCCATCGTGCCACGTCGCCCGTTAAGCCGCAAGCCGTTCGATCTGGTGAACTTGCGATGGTGGCCGTTCGATTGCGGATCGGTTTGGTCTCTACCCGTTTCGCTGTAAACCCGAAACCTCGGGAACCTTCTTGGGCTCATCCGTCGAGCGGCTGTTCGTCCAATTCCCCAACCTCGACCCAAACCCTAGCGCGCATCCGGCTCAGTGGGCGGTAGCTCCTGTTCGAGGCACGGCGGCGGCAGCGGGCGACGAGGCGAGGCGCAGCGGCGGCGGGCGGTGGGCGGGCGACTGCGCGTGCGCGAGGCGCGAGGCACTGGCGGCGACAGCCGGCCGGCTCGGGCTTGGGGCCGCGACGCGAGCGGCTGCTGCGGTGCGCCGGGCCGGGGCTGCCGGCTGCGGCCTGTTGGCGCGACGAGACCTACGAGGGCATCGAGGCCCCGCACTGGGCCGACCTCACCGACCCCAACGCCGGCCGCGCCGACGTCGACGACAAGGCCTGGTTCTACCGCCCCGGTACGCTCTCCCTTCCCTCCCACTCTCTTGCTGGCTCCCCCCTCTCAGGCGGGCGCGCGGGCGGTGCTCCTGTTGCCTGTTGGTTGGGATCCGTTATGATTTGACTACGAGGAGATCAAATAAAAGCAGTGCACGCTGATCGACGGGTTGCCCGGTTCTTGCTTTCTTCCTTGGGGATGGATTCTCTTGCAACATTGGAAGTTTGCTTCTAAACGAGCGGTGCTGATCTTTTGATTTGCGGCGCTGCAGATTGCTGGCATCCGAAGACGGTCGAGGATTTCCTCAAGCTGAGCCCCAGCCCCAACGTCTGCCTTGCTTCGCCGTTCCTTGCGGCCCTTTTTGTTCTTTGCACGCCGCGCCCGCCTCGATCAAATCCCGTTCTCACCCCCCTTCGTGCGTTGCTCAGGGACGGCAGGAGCAATCTCAAGTGGCGGGGCGGCGGCGCCATTGCCTCCTCCACGCCGCCGAAGCCAAAGGCAGCGCCCAAGAAGAGGTTCCAGGAGGACAGCGAGAACCAGGACCCTGCGCTGGCCACGCCGCCCCCACGACAGGCGCCAACTAGTAGGCCGCCGTTTGGTGCCCCTCGGTGGAACAAGAATGCCAAGGAGGCCATCAAGTCCAGTGCTGAGAAGCGGCCGGACAATTCTGAGAAGGAGGCGCTGCTCAACAAGTACGCCCCGCCGAGGCAGCTCAAGAGCACCCTCTCAGCGAGGAATCTCTTCTCTGGAAAGGATATACTTGGCCAGATTTCGGAGTTCTACGATGAGCTGAAGCGGATGGTTGGAGGCGGCCGGCCTGTCACAGACACACAGGAGGAATACAGCTCAAACCCAATGTAAACCTCTCCTCATCGAAGGAATGCTGGAATTCAATTGTCGGGTTGTCTCTATGAGGCTCTTGACAGTTTCATTCGTGTACGAATCCGAGCGATTTGATGGAGAAGGTATCTCCTGATGCCAGCGTCAGCAATCCAGTTCCCACAGATACCGTGAAGGAGGCGGCGAGACAAGAAACAGTGAAAAAGAGTCCAAGCCCAATGTAATTTGCAAATAGTCATCCCAATGCAAACTTATGCGTATAGGTTGTACTGATTGTTGCTTACGGCGCTGATGTTGGTTTCTGCAGGAAGGGAAAGAAAGTGGGGCTGAAGGTGGAAGCAGGGAAGCAAAGGTCTCCCTCTGTGCTGAAGGAAGTGAAGGCAACAGCGCCCACTCCGCAACGGTTTCCATCCCCATCGCCAAACCGCATTTAGAATGTTAAACCTGGAGGGGTGGCCACAGCAGGATCGCCACTCAAGAAGCCACTCAAGGTGAATCCAGCATGGCTATAGTATTTGCTTACTCGGTGTCCGTGGCTTTAAATCATGGTGTTTACTTGATTTTTACTGTCTTCATTTCTGGGACTTCAAATTCTTCAAGGGCATGTAATGTTCACAAAAAGCATGGTCCACTTTTGTAGATCTTAGTATGGAAGAATACATTAGAGTGACTTCTGCTCTAAAATAAATGATTGGCTACGACTGCTTCTTCCCCTGATGATTTAATACATCCTACAATGAGCTAAATTAGCATCACCCCAGTTCACCATACTTCACAAACTAAATTTGTTGAACCATGTGAAAGATTAGGTCATGAGATGTTACCGAATGTACTAACTATATATGTCAAGGCATATTTTCTATAAATCCTAATAATGATGCTTGTTCATAACCTGGTATTCATTGTAAGCCTCATAGTGGATGGCCTCAAATAGTTTTTTCAACTTATCTTATGTTCATTGTGGATGATCTCATTAGTTGTGTATGTCATGAATCATCTTAGAATTACCTATTCTAATAGTCTTTGCCTTAGACCATGAGACATGAAGACTCAGTTTGGTAATTGTTTTCAATCACCTCCAGTTATAATTTTATCTCCTCAATTTTGACTGAACAAAACATTTTCAACAGTTACAAAAGAGAAGTGGTAGATTATCCTGGAGATACTAAGACTAAGATACAATGTGTTGATGCTTCCATACTCTTCGACAAGACAGGCAAATTTTAGCATACACGAAGACATGGAGTTGCTGCTGAAGAAACAACAACACAAGGTCGAACCCTTGCATCAGAGATCTTCCTGGCCACATTTTGCTTCAGCGTCAAATATACGTTTATTGTCTACTGAAAAACAACATAGCCTATTAGAAATCAACTAGCTACAACTGAATCTTGAAAAACATCACATATATCAAACTGTGCATTTGTCCAAGGAGCATTGCCTTGCATACACGAGGATCATTGCAAGAGATGTCTACAGAGATAATCTTCTCCAAACTTGTATGCTTACTCTGCCTCCAAATAATTTACAAGACTACTTCCTTCTGATCTTGAAGCTGTCATAGTTTGTTTCCAGAATGAGTGATAACAAGGGGATTCAATTCAGAAATTCCTAGACACATATATAGAGGGGCTAGTTGCCTACTGCAAGGGCGCGGCAAAGCCGCGCGTGTCTTTCTAGTTGGCATTGGATTGCGTTGCCGCTGCTTCTGCCTTGTTCCATGTATTGCATTGAGCGCTGTTGTTTTGTTTGATTCTCACAGTCCCAAGTCCTAAAATCGGCTAATCCTCTCTCATGGGGTGGCGAGATTTGATGGAAATTGGAATGCAATCAGCTTTTGTGCTGCCGCCGCGCCGCCGATGAATACTCGATTAGCCACTACGGATAATCTAATCTAATCAGTTAGCACTCCTCTAGTCTAGTCAATAGTCCAGATCCATCTCTACCGCTGCTGCATGCGAAGCGCGAGGGCCAGGTGGTGAGATCATTGCGCACATGCTGCCACGACCCGCGGCCCACGGCCCACGGCCCACGGGGACGTGATGCCATCCTCATCGACGTGAAGGAATCTGGAGTCAACTCAATCTGCGTGTGTGCCATCAAAATACGTATCGAAATGTATCATCCAGATATATTATTAGCGATATATATAATTTGCAAACAAGCCACGCTAGTTTGGATTCAATAGTATTAATTTTATCTCCTGCTATCTCTGTTTTCTTTTATAAGGCGCAGCTTCACAATGCACAGTCTCGTAAAATATACTTTAAACTATTTATTTATTTATTTATTTATTTTATATTTATATTATGATAGTACATTTGATTGTACTAAATTTGTATTGTAGTAGTTGAAATCATCAGCTAGATTATTAGTTAAAGATTTTAAAACTCAAATCTTCATTTACGTGTGTCTTATAAAAGAATAGAGAGAATTTCTTATTTGACACTGGGAAAATGAGTCGTTCCTTTCTTGGTCCTGAAATTTTCTTCGTTCCCTATTTGACACCCACTTCAACTTTCATCCCTAATTTGACACTACCGTCAAATCCGTTAGCTAACGGTGTTAACTGGCCGTTAAAAAGACGTTTTTGCCCCTAGAAAAAAAAGTGGCGAAGCAAATTTGTGAGGAAAAAAAACTGCGCCCGCCTCTGATGCATGCGCCCAGCTGCAAAAAAGAAGGTGCAGGTTTTTTCTTCCTCTCAAATTTGCTTCGTCGCTTTTTTTTCTAGGGGCAAAAACGTTTTTTTAACAGCCAATTAACACCGTTAGCTAACGGATTTGACGGTAGTGTCAAATTAGGGATGAAAGTTGAAGTGAGTGTCAAATAGGGAACGAAAAAAATTTCAGGACTAAGAAAGGAACGACTCAGTTTCCAAATAATAAATTCTCTCAAAAGAATATTGAGAGAGAGTAACCATTAACACTAAATAGATACTGCAAATAATGCATACTCCTCCATAACCATACCTAACCAGGGTAGAGCGGCAACCCATCTAAGAGCATCTCCAGTGATACCTAAAAAACTAGTTTTACAACTAGAAAGGTAGATAAACAATTTACCAACCAGGGTAGGGTGTACAAGACCAATTACTTCTCTCTATTAAATAGGAAGGAAGAACAAAATAACTATTTTATATGTGTAACCAGTGATCACCAAATTACCTGACGGCAGCCTTCTGCAGATGCTTGGTGAACTCAGTAGGAAAGAAAGGCAAATTGCAGAAGATGTTGCCAGGGGCCATTTCAGTGTCCTCATCAGAAGGGATGGCTTACGGGGAGAGCCACGAGGCCCCACTCCTTAGTCCTCCTCCGCCACCACCACCGCCTCCGATAACCTATGCCGAGATGATGGCTGAGATGTTGGCTGCTCGTCGCGAGTCGGCCCGTGCCCTGGAGATGCTGGCACAAGCTATTGGTGCCTTCGCTCGTGGAGGCCCCAGTGGCAATGACGGGAACGGGGATGGTGCCCGCAGTCCCGAGAGGCCCTGTTCCTATCAGGACTTCTTGGGGACACACCCGCCCACGTTCACACTGACTGCTGAGCCTCTAGACGTGGAGCATTGGCTTCGTATTCTGGAGCAGAAGTTTCAGTTGCTCAATGTGACTGACGAGCAGAAGATGCGCTTTGCCGCACAACAGCTTCTGGGATCTGCCAGTGCTTGGTGGGACACTTTCAACGCCATACAGCCTGTGGACCACCATGTGACTTGGCAGAAGTTTACCACTGCTTTTCGTCAGTACTATATTCCTGCTGGTTTGCTGAACAGGAAGCTATCCGAGTTTCTGGAGCTGAAGCAAGGAAACATGACTATGATGGAGTATGTGAACAAGTTCAACCATCTTGCACAGTATACTGGGACTCATGTGGATACTGATGAGAAGAAGATGGATTGTTTCAATCGCGGTCTCTCTTGCATCTTGTAAGAGAAGCTGTATACAGGGGGTTATCAGACCTTTGGTGCTTTAATGAATGTTGCCATTGCTATGGAGGGACTTCAGCGTGACTCTCAGGCTGAGTGGAAGCGCAAGAGGGTGATCACTGGGTCTTCTAGTCACCCATAGTCTTAGAAGGTACAGGTTGTGAGGAGGGTGTCCTATCACTCTCCGGGTGGATAGTCATCTCGCTAGACTCGGCAGACTCACCAGGCACCTCCCACTCAGTATCGTGCACCTACTCGGTAGGTGCAGCAGCCTTAGGGACAGTAGGTTTCTCCTCATCAGGGACAAGGGAACAAGCCGGGTGCTTGTTTCAAGTGTGGTAAAGAAGGTTACTATGCCCGAGAGTGCCCTCAGAATTAGCCTCCCAAGTCTTCTCAACCTTCAGCCAACTCTCGTTTGATCAAGAGGACTATCATCAGGAAGAAGGTGCCCATGAGCCGCTCAGGACAGGTTAACTTCACTGAGGCTGAGGAGATCCCGTAGGGAGAGCCTGTGATAGCTAATATGTTCACCGTTGATTCCCGTCCAGCATATGTATTATTTGATTCTAGTGCATCGCATTCATTCATGAGTATGTGGTTTGCACAAAGGTACAATATATCTACTATGGCTATTCCTATTGCCTATAGAATCAGAACCCCGGGTGCGTAGTTGTGCGTTAAAACTCACACGGACATAGTGAGACTAGTGTTAGCAACTCACTCTTATCATCTCTAGTTCATGGTGCTGCCTTGTCAAGGCATAGATGTAATTCTGGGAATGAACTGGTTGAGAAACTATGGGGTAGTTTTGAACCTTAGGCAAAGAATTGTTGAGTTGAAGCTTCCTTCTTCTGAGAATAGAATATCTCTCCTTATGTCTTCAGTTTCCACCCTACCAGTTATTGCTCATGCTTAAGCTTCTCCTGACATTGCTTCTGTTCATGTGGTTTGTGAGTTTCAAGATGTCTTTCCCGTGGATCTACCTAGGTTACCACCGGATCAGGATGTGGAGTTTGCCATTGAGTTAGAATCTGGTACTGCTCCTATTTCACGACGTCCCTACCACATGGCTCCAACGGAACTGGCTGAGATGAAGAAATAGTTAGAAGAATTGTTGGAGAAGGGATTCATCCGTCCAAGTTCTTTACCATGGGGTTGTCCAGCTATTTTTGTGAAGAATGACAGCACTGTTCGGATGTGTGTGGATTATCACCCTCTCAACGCGGTAACCATTAAGAACAAGTATCCTTTACCTTTCATTGATACTTTGTTCGATCAGTTGGCTGATGCCAAGGTGTTTTCAAAGATTGATCTTCGTTCTAGGTATCACCAAATTAAGATCCGACCACAAGATATACCAAAGACAGCTTTCTCTACTAGGTATGGGCTTTATGAGTACCTAGTCATGTATTTTGGTCTCATCAATGCTCCTACATTCTTCATGTATCTCATAAATTCAGTCTCCATGTCGAAGTTAGACAAGTTTGTAGTGGTGTTCATTGATGACATATT